GTATATATATATATATATATATATATATATATATATCATCAATAATATGTAAACATTTGAAATGTATGTTAATGTTGTTAATTATTTTTGTATTGTGATGCTTTGGCAACATTGTTTAATTTAACTTTCATGCCAATAAAGCCCCTTTGAATTGAATTGAGAGAGAGAGAGAGAGAGAGAGAGAGAGAGAGAGAGAGAGAGAGAGAGAGAGAGAGAGAGAGAGATTATATTCCATCCCTCACATACTTATGTATATATAATAACTTGCTTCTGAGGCTGCTGCAGCACAAACAGTTCCCAAATTGGGATCAATAAAGTACTTCTGATCTTATCTTATCTGATTTTATGTGTTTCTCCTATGGTTTCTCCTGACTCTTATTTTGAAGGCCCGGAAGCGCTGTTTCTGTAATGCTAACTTGATGCTAACTTGAAGCTAACCGTAGGAAGATGTCGGCCGCTGTTAGAGTGTTTCAAGGCCGATTATCTGCTCTATGTCTGCGGGGATTAACTCCACAAACACCGGGGAATCATCCGGTGAAAGGACCGCGGCTGACACACTCACAAACAGGTATTGCTAAACTAAGGTATGCCAAGCTAACTGGCTAATGTTAGTTAGCCTCCAATCTGAGGTGAGAACAGTTATTTATTCAAAAGAAAACAAATAAAAACATTTAACAAAACGCTAACAAAAGTTTTTAAATAAATAATAATTACCCAAAACTTAAAGAACCAGATTTAGTAATTAACTACACTATTTCTAAAGAACACTTAAAAAAAGAAAAGTCACATGATTAAATGATGGGACATTAAAATAAGTAGTAACAAGTAGTAACAATTCATATTACAACAACACACAGTTGTCCAGGATGCTCTCCCCCTGCAGAGAGTCTCTGCTCCTTCTCCAGCTCGTCCAGGGTCTCTTGCAGGAAGGTATTATGGATCAGCAGACCTTCCTTCTGTGAGCTCATGTCCTTCAGAAACAGAAACAGGTTTATTACCAGGTACACTCTCCTGGGTGGCGCTGTTCTCCATCTTCAAGGCGACAATTTCCGCCTTCATTTCATCATATTTGGAGGACCATCAGTCTTTGTCGGTCATGTTGCCTTTTGAGCTCACAGCACATGGTTTCAAGGAGGTCCAGGTCCTGCGCCAGCAGGGCTCTCCTCCCCATCTCCAGGTCCTGATCACCGGCACTCATGTTCAGATTCTTTATATATATATTAATGAATATATAATGTCACGGTTCTGAAGCTGTTCTAACGTCTGACTTTGAACATTTGAATAAACTGTTGCCACGGAAATCAGAAGATGCTTTATTTAAATTTGTGAAAACTCCTTTGGAAATAAAAAAAAGATGGTAAATGGAAATAATTTAATAGAAAGTATTTATATAAGCCTGATGTTTTACATTTAAGAATGTGCACAGAGAAAAGTTTTTAAAATATTTATATTAACATAAGAAGTGAATACAACCTGCAGGATATAAATAGTAAAACAGAAGCGAAAATCACATCAATAAAGTTCTTATTCTTATTTAAAATATATATTCAAGTTCTGTTTCCTGTGTTTCTCTGGCCCTCAGGAGGAGGCGTGGCTCCGCTACACGGCCTCCGAGTGTTGGACCTCACCAGGTCAGTCTGAACCACAGCAACATCCAGATTTCATGACTAAAAAGTACATTTAATTGAAATAAAATGACATTTAAATGGTATTTTGTGCAGAGTTCTGGCGGGGCCCTTTGCCTCCATGATCCTGGGGGACCTGGGGGCCGAGGTGATCAAAGTGGAGCGGCCAGGTGAGGCTTTGATAGGCTGTAAAGATACAGTCATATGATTAAATTAAGGGTCATTCAAATAAAACAAATATAATATTAATAATACATGTTATTTATAGAGTACCAACTCATATTAAAACAACACACTTACAATATATAAAACACAAATTAAGTACAGATTAAAATCAGTTATTATCATTATTATGCAGAGTATGTGCAAGGCATTGTGGTTAATGTAGTTTTTGTGAAGGTGCGGGGGACGACACCAGATCCTGGGGGCCCCCGTTTGTCGGATCAGAGAGCGCCTACTTCCTGAGCGTCAACAGGAACAAGAAGGTAACACTTCATATACTTATATACATTTATTATATTACAATTCAATCAGAAGTAATAAATACAGAGTTTTATTGTTTAGAGTATCTGTGTCGACATGAAGAACCCCCGAGGAGCGAGCGTCATCAAGGAGGTACTTTCACATTCAGATAGGATTCAAAACTACAAAGAAATTACAATAATAATTATACGGAATTTAAAACACTGTGTGTGTGTGTGTGTGTGTGTGTGTGTGTGTGTGTGTGTGTGTGTGTGTGTGTGTGTGTGTGTGTGTGTGTGTGTGTGTGTGTGCAGCTGGCAGCAGTGTGTGACGTCCTGATGGAGAACTTCCTCCCGGGGAAACTCTCCTCTCTGGGTTTGGGGTTCGATCAGCTGATCAGAGTGAGCCCTCGCCTCGTCTACTGCTCCATCTCAGGTACCAACACTAATTCAATCATCTCATTAAATATGAACTCATTAGCACTGATATTATAGAGTCTAATGACCTGATGAGCATCCACAGATTTAACAGCGATGCCTCAGTATTTAATTATCCCACAGCTGCAGTGTTCAGTGTTGGCCACCAGAGGGAGCTGCTCTCCACGTTATAGACAGGAAACTCCTCACACTGATTTACTATGAGTCAAATAACAGATAGAGATACATAGAGAAATAAAACTGTACAATTATAAAGGGAAAATAGCTGGATGAATAAATTATAATGAAATATAATCTAAAAATAAGATCTGACCCTTTTACAACAAACACTAAATGCTCTAAACGAGGGGTGTCAAACTCAAGGCCCGGGGGCCTAATCCGGCCCGCGACTTCATGTTATGTGGCCCCGCAAGAGCTTCCAAAGAATATAATAAGTTTATTATACGGTTACATGCCGATTTACAGAAGCCCGTTGCCCATAAACTACATGTCCCACAATGCATCTCGTGTTGTGACATGCACACTGAAGAGACTTGCAATTACTTGCCCCAGACTTCTGCTTTCAGACGTAGTTAATTATGAAGTTATTACCCTATCCCATAATAATCCAATTCAGAGGCAATAATGTCATATAATACATTATTTTATACATATTATATATTTATATTTGTATAGTCTTAAAAGTTACAATCGGCCCTTTGAGTGCAACCATAATGCTAATGTGGCCCGCGATGAAATTGAGTTTGACACCCCTGCTCTAAACACTTCTCCTGCTACTGATCCCCATTGTGTGTGTGTCTCTCTCTCTCTCTCTCTCTCTCTCTCTCTCTCTCTCTCTCTCTCTCTCTCTCTCTCTCTCTCTCTCTCTCTCTCTCAATTAGTT